TCATGCTTTTACATTGGTGGCCAAGCTAATTATTACAATCATACTGCTGCTGTTCACTTCTTTTTTTGAAATGCCATTTTTTTCTGAGATTGTCTTCAAAGACTGCAAGATATCTGTGGTACATATTTCTAATTATTTAACCAAAACCCATTCCTTCTTCCCCATGAGAAATGTAGAATCTGAGTATGTGGCTGCCGTAGTGATAAGATGGCCCCTGGGCACATGGCTACGCAGCAGGTGACTGACTACCAGATGTGGCCACGTGACATAGGTTGCAGTGGGGGATGGAAGTGCTTGTGGGTCATTTCCAGACTTTGGTTTAAAATATTGTGTACGAGTTCCTCCAAGACTTTAACCATCCTCCAGGAACCACGGGAATCCAGCGCTGACCATGCCCTGGGAGGTGGCAGAGCAGCATGATGGAAGGAACCTGGGTCCCTGCATGACCACATGGTGTAGATCTGCCCTGCCAGCCATGTTCTCTCCTCTTGAGCTTGTTAAGAAAAATATAAATTTCTTCTTTTTTCTTAAAATACCAACAGTTGGGGCTTTGGTTATAGGTTCTACAAAATTAAGCAATGAAAATGGTAACTATAATGAGTAGCAAAAGCCTACTTGGCTAAGCAAGTCTTTGCATAGCTGCTTAGGAAGAAGTTTCATGAGTTTTTAGTTAGTCCTTATATTAGGGTCACCAAGTGAGTAAACCAGGATACAGAAAAGTGCAGAGAACTGATGACAGGAAGACAGAGAAAAGAAACACTGGAGAGAGCACGATCAGAATTAACCAGGCTCAAGATTGTAACCTTTCAATATAAGACATGGTCCTCAAAATTTTTCCTACGTGGAGCCTCACTTTAACACTCTTCTCTGTGTAACAGAATTCTGCACAACTGAGGTGCTTCTGGGAAGGACATTTTATGAGGTTCTGTTGCTAAGATTCTAAACTATCAGATTATCAACAGGCCCATGTTTCAATTATCTGCTGCTCTGTAACAAACTGCCCTGAATTTATTGGCTTAAAACTACAGAAGTGTGTGATTTGTCCCCATGCTCCAAGTTGGCTTGGATCAGCTGGGAGGTTCTTCTGCTCCACGTGGTATAGTTGAAGTCATGACATGGCTGCATTCAGCAGGTGGCTCATCCTCCAGGGTCTCTTTCAGTGTGTTCTCTGGTCATCCAAACATCTAACCTGAGATTCTGAAAGCATGG